TAAAATTAATCAATATCATATTGTTTTAACTTTGTTATATTATTTAGTTTATAATATAAAATTAACTTTATTTTTTAAATCCTTGTCATATCTTTTTGATTATTATCTTTGTTATTAAATATATCTTTTCCTATTTATAAATTAATTTTACAAAATTAATAATTATATCTATTAAGACTTTTGTTTATAAATAGTAATAAATTAAATAAATTATCAGAATATCTTATGAAATAATCATGCAGTTTTGTTAAATTAGTTTTCAATTAAGTAATTAAAATTAATCTTTATTTACTGTTCTCTTAATGTAGTATCATTTAATATTTAAATCTCTATAAATGCTAATTAATATCAGTTTTTTTTAAGCAGATCTCAATAAACATACCCTACATTTCCTTAAAATGAAATACTTTTGAAAAACTTGTATGAATCTTGAGAAATCAAAATAAAGAGTTGAGCAAAATAAAGATATAATTAAAAAAGTATAAAGAATGAATTTAAATAATAATTGTTGTAATTTTCTTTATGAATAATAATTATCACTTTTACTTAAGGTCTTCCAAAAAGCAACTACCTTTGGATTTCAATAATGATCTTAGATCGTATCCCTCATAGTTGATAAATTCTCCTTTCAAGATTAATGCTCCTTGCGCTTGGAATAGTGGTGTTTAAGATATTCTTAGAATTGTAATAATGTTGGATTCTAAAAGGTAAAAATAATGAAATACCTGACTAAGGATTATTTGAAAATAGTGGTGCCTTAAATTATGCAAGAATATCTTTGTAGTTTTTATCAGAGGATTTAATTTCTTATCCTGTCTTTACATCACATAGACGGATAGACTTATCATAACTACCATAAGCAAATGCATTTCCATAAAGATAGAAACAGGCTGAGTAGACCCAACTATTATGACCATATAATTTGGCTTTTTATTATCCTTTTTTCAAATCACATAGACTGATAGAGTTATCATTACAACTAAAAGCTAATGTATTCCTATGGGTAGAGAAACAGATTGAGTTAATACAACCACTATGACCATCTAATTTGGATTTTTATTATCCTGTTTTGACATCCCATAGGCGGATAGAGTTATCAGTACTACCAGAAGCTAATGTATTTCCATCAGGAGAGAAACAGACTGACATAACATAGTTACTATGACCATCTAATTTGGCTTTTTATTTTCCTGCTTTGATATCCCATAGAAGGATATCGTAATCACTACTACCAGAGGCTAATGTATTTCCATCAGGAGAGAAAGCGACTGAATTCACAGTTTTACTATGACCATATAATTTGGCTTTTTATTATCCTGTTTTGACAT